TGGTCATCTGTTTAAAATAAATGCAGCCACACCGACGGATTTTGGCAGTTTAGAGTCGCTGTTGTGCTAAAAACTGATTGTGCTCCTCGAGTTAAAGTTGTAACGTCTAGTTTAGAAACATCTACAGCTGCTGGTAACTGGATTCAACTGAACAACTGTGAATAAAGAAGCATTTGCAGTTTACAGCCTGATATCAGTCCTTACATTCACTATTGAAAGGCACCACTGTAATACCGTTTCAGATGTTTAGGCTGTTTGTGTTTGGTTGGTCTAACATCCATCCATCCATTATCTATACACCGCTTAATCCTCATGAGGGTCATGGGGGGCTGGAGTCTATCCCAGCTGACTTAGGGTGAAGGCAGGAGACACCCTGGACAGGTCACCAGTCTATCACAGGGCTACACTTAGAGACAGACAACCAAGCACACTCACATTCACACCTACGGACAATTTAGAATCACCAATTAACCTCAACATGTTTTGGACTGTGTGGGAGGAAGCCGGAGAACCCGGAGAGAACCCACGCTGCACGGGGAGAACATGGAGACTCCACGCAGAAAGATTCCGGTGCCCCCACCGGGACGCGAACCGGCGACCTTCTTGCTGCGAGGCAACAGTGCTGGATTCCATATATAATATAAAGAAATTCTCTGTTCTGCAAAAAAAAAAAAAAAAAATACAGGATCTCCTCTTTAAAATAGAACCTAATGAGTCATTTGATGCATTATCAGCATTTCAGGCACAGTGTAGTGGCTGCAGAGACTTTTTAGGAGGTGGAAAATCACAATACACAAGTTGAATTAGTCCTTTAAAGTTACTTCACTCTGTAAAAACAACTGGATTGGTTATAATGTAGAGCGCAGAATAGGTAAAATAAGGCAAAAAAATTAAAAACGAAGATATTTTTAGCCCAACACCAGCTGTGGGGAGATTTTCAGAAAACCTGGAGACTACAGGAGTGAGAAATTTAGGCTTAATGTTTGTTTCCATCAAGTACTGGGACATCAACGTCTACAAATTCTGACTTAGTTGCACAACAACTGTTGTGTTTCCACGTGTTTTCACAGCACAACAGCAGCAAAATGCGGGAAAAAAACAGTACTTCACAAACAAGCTTTCTAATTGAGACTTTACTGTCAAAAAATTCCCACTTTATCTTTTGCTATTTGAAAATCTTTGCTGGCGCCTCTCTTTCTTTCAGCCACTTTCCCCCGAATATTAGCTTGAGAAGAACTGTTTCAGATTCAGAACAGCACCGTCACACATTTCATGTAACTTAGAATAATCTGTCGTCTGGATTCACTCCAGGTCACAGAGCCTCTGACGGCAACACTGGATTCGACTTCTCATCTCCAGGAATTTCTTTGACTGTTTATCCTCAACAGAATTGGAAGATGGTAGCGGATGATGGTGATGAAGAGGATCATTTTCTAAAATGTTGAGGTCAGAAGGAAAAGCTTGAGGAACATTAGTCACATCAACCCACAGCGACTGAATGTTTAGACTCTGAAATATCAGATAAAATCAGTCGATTAGCTGAGAACTAACCAAGATTTTTAATAACTGTTTAATCATCTCAGCCTCTGTTATGTGCCTATTTATAGCTTTTTCTAAACACCCTTCAGATTTATGACTTTCGCTCACACAAATTTAGCAACACATTGATCTCGGGGATCTTGCAGCGAGCAGAGTCTCCGACAGACTGAAAGATTAACGGATGAATCAATAGCGAAGCCGATCATTAGCTGCGGCCCTGGTGACCCTCTTTGACCACTAAACTCAGACACGACCGGCAAAACAACAAACACATGTCTGAGCTCAGAGGAAGCATGTGGGCAGATCTGAAGCCTGATTGTCCTGATTTTCTCATCTCTTCTTTCTAAAGTACGTCTGAGGTTAGCAGAGATGCTCAGTGAGCCAAGGCAGCGCTTTCAGTCCTTTTTAAAGCTCAAAAACAGCAACAGAAACAAAAATAGCCTCGGCAGCGGCACTTTAAGAGACTGGCCGGCTCTTTTGTGCACAGCAGAAACAACGTCAGTAATAATAGCAGCCGCGGCTGTCATCTAAGCCTCTGAGAATTTACGGGCAGAAATAAAATACAGATGCAAGCGCAGACAGGTACACGAGCTTTGGAGATGCAATAAGGCAGATGAGCATCAAATAAAATTACACTGGTGTCAAACCCAAGTGCCATTTGCCACAACTAATATCAGACAACACTCAATCACTGCTGAGTGAGGATTCACAGTTTGCCATAGATTTATTCATTTCACAATATTACAAGGACGCCGTCAAACGTTATTGGCCCACAGTGTCGTCTAAAAGATGACTGAGGAGACCAAGATAGGCATTTTGATCTCCAGATGAGGCTGCAGTTTTATCAGTGTTTGATTTGAATGATTAAAAACTGCAAAATGCTGCAAAGTTAAACTTTTTACACAATAGCTGAACAAGCTCAAATGTGCTGGATGTTGAGTACGTTCTTTTGTCTGCTCCTTATACTGAGTACTACTGGTATTATTTCTCAACTCCAACATTATTTAAAGCACATTTACTGAAGCTGCTTTCAGTTAAAACATGCTCATAAATTCATTGTATGTGAATTTTCCACTGCCAAATGGCAAACAATGTTGACAAAAGGGCAACGTTCAGCAGCTACAGATGCAAATACTTGTTGCAGGAAGTGGTGGCGACCAAACCAGAGCTTAAAACAAACAACAGAGCTAATGTTTGTCAGTGTGTCTACTGCGTGAGTAAATAAATAAACATGCCAACCTTTATAAACAACACCTGAAAGTGACACAGTGAAGTTCATCTCTGCAAAACAGGTTGTACCAGTGGGCCTGTCATCATCGTTACATCATCACCTGATGCCAGTTCCTTGAGCTGACTCAGTTCATTTTGCATAATCATTAGAATCTTTGGATTAACATTGAATAGCTGAAATAAACTAACAATTATGTCACATTTAAACCACCTTTTCCACGTCATTTTCCACCATCTTCTGCTGTGGTTTAATGGCACAAACTGTTTATCTCGAGGTACTTAAGTTGTATTACTGAAGATGCATTTCGATGTAGTAAAATTAGTGACATGGATGTAGCTGCAAAACAAAACACTACAAGATGACTGTGGATTCAAGCCAAATGAAAAAGCTGAACCCAATAACTTCATAATTAAATCCTTGATCTCAGTTATTTTTATGAAAACAATAGCTGCTTGCAGGGCTAGTTAGCAAACTACTACAAATGCTGGGTTAACTGCTAATATGCTAGCCAAGTGCTAAGGTACTGGTGCTAGTCAGTCTCAATAACCCTCCAAACTAGCTAGCTTGTTACCTTTCAGTTAGCAGGCTAGTTAGCTAGCTGGACCGCTAACAAGACAACATGTTTACAGTTTGTCTTAAAAGCATATTTGCACCACGGACTTCTGTCTCTTCTAAAAATCACTCAGCTCCCTAAAAAATGACTTTGTCTTTGTGGAGCAGTTTTTACTCTTGACAGGGGAAGGTTTAAAAAAGCAACCTTCACACCAAAGCTAAAACAACAATGCTAAAGAATTGCTAAGAATAGAGAAGCAGTGTTAGCTTTGTGTGTAACACGCTAACATTTATAAATCACACTAAAAAGTGACACAGTAAAGTTCATAACTGAAATTTTGTGGGTCATTTGGATGCCAAACACAAAACTGAGGCACAATTGAGGGTTTAAAAGTGTAGCTGCTTCATGAAATCCAATATAAAGAGGATGTATGTGGTTGAGGGGAGATGCTAGCAGTGAGCTTACTAGCTAGTTGACATCTACAGATGATACGCTGTATTGTGGCTGAGGTATTTCTAAAAAAACAAAATCATACAAAGCTGCTGTTACTGTGGAGAAAAAAAAGACTAAGATGAAAAACTAAATATGTAGCAGTAGGTTTTGGAGGGCTTGTGAAGTGTTGCTAGTTAGCATAATAACCTGCTAATACCAAATTACCCACAGAGGCTAATTTAGGCTAATGTACCAGCACTGGTAGTGACTTTTAGACGTTTTACAGTTAAAGTGTCCTTTTATAAACGGTTCAGGTATAACATGAGGACCATCATATTGGGTTGCTAGGTTGCTAATTAACTGATGCTAATGTTGTTGTGTGGTGTGAATTATTTGCTACACAACAAAAAATCCAGATGCTCAACTGGAATCTTTTTTTTTTTTTTAAAGTGTTAAAAATATTGATGGCAATGAACCCAGGGACTGAAGTGTACTGCAGAGCTTTTAACGGTTTTCTATAAATGAATACTGCTAATAAAAGGCTGTAGAGTGGTAAAAATGACGACTGAATGGTTATTTTGGACCGTTCAGACAAGGGACACAGCTGTGCAACATGTTGAAAAGACAAGAGCAAATGCAGTAGAAGTTTGAACATATTGTCATCAGAAGGCCGACACATCTCCGCTTCACACATTTAATGCAAAAGACATATTGGTGCCACTGATCCCTGTCTCATGACTGTCTAAAAATATTTTTTGCTTTATCAAAGTAAAGTTTGTTCTCAGCTTTAAGGGCTGTAAAGTACATTTAAAACAGATCAGAACATTTCTAGCAGTTCTTCTGGGAAGCTGGTCACCACAGGAGTCAAGCAAACATTAGCGCCGCTTGCTCGGATTAATTACCTTCATCTATTGACAATGCCACAACATGTGTTGGGACCTGCCAGTAAAGCTAAAAACTGTTTGTCACAGTAACCCACATTTGCTGTTCTGCCACATCACACTGTTTATTTATAGCTCCATGGGCTGGGACAACACTCACAGCTGATGAGCATTACATTTATGTATTATTTTTCTCCGGTTGACCTTCATGATGGCACCAAATGTGGCCGCTGAGAGATTTATGAGACGACCGCAAAACCCCTGAAGCTTTTATCGTGTATATAAATATCGACGGAGCAGCTGAAGTCATATGAAAAGCCGCAGGGTGGATTTGTATGAGGGGGGACGGACCGAGCCGTCGTACCTTTGAGATGAGCTCGTCGTGATTGGCCAGATGTGCCCGGCAGTGGATGCAGCTGTAGGTGCGATGGCAGGTCGGCAGGTAAGCCTGGAAGGTCTTCGATTTGGTCATCTTCACCATGTCAGTGGGGCAGGGCTCCTCGCTGGTGTCAGGGCTGGCACTGGAAGAGTTGCAGCTCTGCTGGACTTGCTGACAGAAGAAACACTGGAAGATGCAAGCAAAAGCCGTCGTTGTTGTGGAGTGGGTGTGTGGCACGCTCCACACAGACACCACGGGAGAAAATCAAACCTGCTGGCGAGAAAAGCACAAAGGAGGAGATGTGGTGAGAGGCACGTTCCATAGCCCCTATTTTTAGCACTCATGATCTTGATTGCATTTCCAATATAAACACGGCTCATTTGCTGCAGCAATCATTTGATTACAATCATCTCTTATGTGATTACATGATGTCCGACGCTGACATGACTGCACCGTGACGTAACTCAGCGTTATGACAAGTCCGGAGCCACGTAACATGTGGCACAAACCGGCTTCTTGTTCAGTTTGTTAGAGCGGTGAGTCCTGTTTTGCTGTGTCCTACTGAACCAATAGATGCAGGATGAGTTTATTGCAACTTCTGAGAAACAATTCTCAGAGAAAAGTCACGTATTTGTTCACAAAATCTAATATTCCTCTCTAATTTAATCAAATTTGTGACGTTCCATTATTAAGTTAATTCATTATTATTATTGCATAACAAAAAAAATTACAACCTAGACTTTTGGAAATTTAGCAAAACGAACTCCTCTCAGTGGAAATAAAAGGCAAACACTAGGTAGAGAATGGGTTTTAACTTTTTTAGGAAGAGTAAGCTATTATTTGACTGTAAAAAATGGTAATTATCGTACACAGTTTGCTGGAAAGTTAATGTTAAAGGGTACAGCTGGTTTATTTGAACTTGTTTAGTATATTAGGGCCCAGATTAGCAGCAGCTATTCCTCCTCGAGTCCACAATAAAACTTTACGTTTTGAAAATGCACCATAAAAACTGACAACAAAACAAACACCATTATAAAGTAAATAAAAGTAGACACTTTTAAAGATGAAATCTGGTGGGAACATGGTGGCACTGCTGCACCAGAGTCAGACAGTAAAAGAAACTATTTGCAAAGGTTATAAAAGGTAAAGTCGAAAGCGAGCGCGTCTGAGATGTTGGTGATAATCTGCTATAACTCAGGAAAACTGCACACAACTCCTGCCATTACAGCAGCTCAGTCTATAAACTGTGATGAATGTTTTCATCAGTTAACGTCTGGCTAACCTGCAGGGCCTGTTCACAACCTGATCACGTCCCCGTCACTGTGTTTTTACACCTCAACAATTAACTCAGTGAGTGTAATTAGACTAATCAGCCGAACCCATTAGCAAAACTATCAAAAAAAATAGCATTAAAGTTGCCATAAAGCTGAAAAATCCTTTAAAAGTAACAAACACAAGACAAAGGGTTGAAAAAAAAACTACACAGCAAGCTCAGAAACAAACGTAAGAATGACGAAAACAGCCGACAAGACGAGGAAACTGAAGCACAACGAAGGCGTAACCCTTTAAAAAGGTTGAGAAGAATAAAAAATAAAGAATCTCTTCAGGTAAACGACGACGCCAAATACTCAGCTGAGCGAAGACCTGCTTCGCCTCCTGCTGTGCAGCTGTCTGGAGTCTGACGCTGCAGGAATTTGAATCCCAGCAGACCAAATGTGACATTAATTCTCACAAAAAAAATGTGCATATTTAAGTCTTTTTAAACCCAGAGACTCAAAGGTAACACGAAACACAATGCCAAGAAATCTACAAGGCGTCATGAAATAATCTCTTGCTTCCACGGCTGCCCACCGCCTTTTATGAGTCTTTTATTAATCTCATCTATTGAATTAGCGTTATTAATCGCTTTGTTTGTGTGTTTATGTCTGAGGTTTACAGCAAGCTGCTGCTAAAAGGCTCAGCTGTCAAAGAAAACACTCGTCCTTTCTGTAAATATTCGTCTGAGCGGCTGTTCGGGGTTTTTAACTGAACTCTGAGGTTTGTGTGCGGCAGAAAAAGGCCTTTTACTAGTTTATTTTCCCACAGTTTGGTACTCTTATGCTGTGTTGCATCTTGTCTATTGATCCCCTTTCCCCCCATTTCTATGCAAAGCAATTTACACTGCAATACTTTTTTAAAAGGCACAGAGGAAATTAGGTTGACTTTGATTTGATCTGGTTTGATTTAAACACATTCAGAGTTGAGCTTTGCAGCAGACAGATGGAAAATACATTTACCGCTGTTATATACGGTCACTGTGTGCATGTTTTCTGGTTTGTTATCGCCTTTAATGTATTTTATTGTAATGTTTTTGTGTCTCAACTTATTTTACTGTTTACATTTGGACTGGCTTACTTTGAGCCTGTCAGTTATCTGTGAACTACCTTGTGTGAAAAACACACAACTAAAGATCAACTGACTTATAAAACTGTTTCAGTTCATTTTTTGGCCACTTGAGGGCAACAGAGCAAGTTAAACATCACGTAAAAGTCGTAAATGTGTAAGTGGTAAAGCAGAACTTATCAGCATTAATTGGAGTCTTGTTTCTAAATGAACCTGATGAATTTAAGTCCAATATTCACTTTGCTGTTTAGCTCTTGTTTGGTTGACGGTCTGCCATGGATTTTAGCTTATGAAAGAGTAACTTCAAAAATAATAAACCCGCACGGTACTTCTCTTTGATATTAAATGCTCAATTACAAACAACAACAACAACAAAAAACCCACTAATCACCTCGGTGAATAAGGTTTTGCTGCAGCAGCATTACTTGGTCTGTTGTGGCTTCTATTGTAGCTTAACGTGGATAAACGTTAGCTATCGTTAGCAAACTTTAGGTGGGTATGGCTGTGCAATTAACATTATAGAGTCAGTTTTCTGACTTTAAGATGACTTCAGCTCATGCTTGATCAGTTTAATGTTAAAATGCTACCTTTGCATTACTAGCAACAGTAACTAACACGCTAGCAGAAATCATTGTATTTATAATGACGAGAATTAGTCATAATTGCTGTTCATAAGCCCAAACTTAGCTTTGTTCTCATTCAAGTGTTTATTAATTGGAATTTGACACATAATTAAACAGGTTGCACCACACAAACTAGTCCTCAGTTGCTAGTAAATATTTACTGGCAACTGAGTAATCTCCAGGTGTGGCTAACTGCACCAATTTGGGGAAAAAAGGGGGCAAAACTAGTTTGCTAATGCTACAAGATCTGTTAGAAGTAAAACAGATCAAGATCAACATGTCTGTCTTAAAACTTAATACAGCACAGAGACAAATTCGATTTTATCAAAGTAGCACAGTATACTTCAAATTACTTTGCGTTATGCTTATTAGTAAACAACTGCTAGGTTAGCATAGTTAGCATCGTGGGACATTTCTTGCTAAATTGTATAATTTGTCAAACTAATAAACTATGACTTTCTGTCTCAAACCTAATAAATCTCCATGAATGTAAAAAGACTTCCAAAAACTACCACAATGTACTTAATTTTCAAAACGCAATGTTTGTAACATTTGACAATGACAATGTTAGCTAGGTTAGCACAGCTAGCATAACTGGATGAAACCTCTCGACTATTGTGTACTTTTACTCAAATAACTGTGACTTCTTGGGTCTGAAACCTTATAAACGTCCAAGAATTTTAATTAGATTTCCCAGGAGTACCACAATATACTTTAAATTTCAAACTTTATGCCAGCATTATTTGACCAAATAAGTAAACAATGTCAGCTAGGTTAGCATAGTTAGCATCGTGGGACATTTCTTGCTAAATTGTATAATTTGTCAAACTAATAAACTATGACTTTCTGTCTCACACTTAATAAATCTCCAAGAATGTAAAAAGACTTCCAAAAACTACCACAATATACTTCATTTTCAAAACGCAATGTTTGTAACATTTAACAATGATAATGTTAGCTAGGTTAGCATAGTTAGCATAACTGGATGAAACTTCTCGACTATTGTGTACTTTTACTCAAATAACTGTGACTTCTTGTGTCTGAAACCTGATAAACGTCCAAGAATTTTAGTTAGATTTCCCAGGAGTACCGTCAAATGTTATGCCAGCAACATTTGACCAAATGAGCAAACAATGTCAGCTAGGTTAGCATAGTTAGCATAGCTGGATATTTCCCAATTAACTGTATGAAAACTCACCCTTTTGTCAGTCAAATAACCTATGACTTCTTGTCTGAAACTTGAGAAATCTCCAAGAACTTAAACAAAATTTTCCAAAACTAGAACAGTAATCACAAAATTTTTAAACTTTTTGCTTCTAACATCTGAGGAATTGAGTGAACAATGTTAGCATAGTTAGCAGAACTGGCTATTTCTCATTAAACACTATGAAAACTCTGTGCTGTCCTGTCAGATTGCTTGTGTCTTTAGTTCTTTATTAAATTAAAAAGTAAAAAGGTGGTGTCATTTATCTGCAAAACCAGAGTTTCTTTTACATTTTTATTTATTTATTCTACATTTACTACAAAAACACACTTTCTTTGCACTTTAGGATCTTGTTTTCCCCCCAGTCTCTGAAAAGGTGCTACACAAAGACAGTTTGATTGATTTGTGAAGCTGCTTTAATTGATTTATGGACGAGACCTGACACGTTGTGATCTTGTAAAAGTGTTATTATGTAAGTGTTGGCAAACAGTTCCTCAGGTGGGATATGCAAAGCACATATGTTCAATTTGGAGTCTTGTTTTTGGACACCTGTGCTTTTAGCTCTGGTTTGCTTTCCACCATAGACTGTATAAAAAGGACAGATACTGTACCCACTGGTTTGATGACTGCAGTTTTGAAGTTTTAGATTTGCCGATCACCATGTCAGTCTTATGAAACCACATGTGACAAATGAGGGTTTTGCAGATCCTGACTTATCTTTACAGTGCTGTAGGATGGTCTGTCAGCGCCTCAATATTATTCTGCTTTACTGGGGGGAAAAAACACTAACTCTTTAAGCCAATCAGTTTGGGTGGTGCTGAGCCCAGGAAGCAGCAATGGTGCCCCAGCACGCAGGAAGGCACTGTGATTCACGTGGCTAATTACCTGAAAGAACCAAGCAAGTTTGTCTTTTATCCAAATCTTAACATTTCAGCTCATAGGTTGCTGCTCTGAGGTTGTTGGTTTTCACAGTAAAGGGGATTTTGAAAAATGGCTAAACGCAGATAGCAAAAAAAAAAAGTGGAAATGGCAGGTTTATACCCTAAGCCTACATTTGGTAAGTCAGACTAAATTTTCCCATAAAAAGGCCAACCAGGCAGTCATGACACCAACTTCAGAGCAACAAAGGAACCACTTGTAAGAACATAGGGAGCGCTTGAGTAGCATTTGTTTGCTGTAATCAGCTATCTTTTGTATTTAACACATAATGTCTGCGCGACAACAAAGGCAGCACCTTGAAAATGACACAATAGAATAAAAAAAAAAGAGAGAAAAAAACACACACACACAATGAAAACGAGCTTCTCTGGAAGTTTCCAGTTGAGCTCAATGTGCTGCAACAGGAAGAGCAGCGCCGAGACAGAAGCCAGCAGCCAGACGAGAAAACAAAGGAGCTTCCGCAACTCAACGGGAAGCAGCCGTGACGTGAAGCATGGCTGCTCTGCAAACACACACTCATATGGACATGTATACAGTATCAACAATAACGCACACACACACTCACACAAGCTGGGGCTGTCGGCTGGGCCCCAGTGGCCCCACAGCAGCCATATTTACATACATAGTGTATAATCTGCACAGGTGCCCGAGGCTTAATCCCTGCATGAAAAGGACCAAATCCCCTCTCTGAATTAGCCCAGTTTAACCCCAGCGGCACGTGCTCGGCAAAGATAAACACCTAACTTTTTGTTTAAATTAAAGCCAAATGTGGACAATGGACAACTTGTGCAGAGCTTTGTGAAGCCAAGTTGCTCACTCCTGGGTACATGAGTTCACTTTTAATGCCATTTTCTGTAATGTTTTGTCCAAACTAACATGTGAGCATCTCTTTTGTTTCAAGCTGCTCCATCATCTGGTTTCAGCTCTGATTTTTTTTGTTTGTTTGTTTGATTGTCCGTTTGGATAAAGAAAGTGTGTTTTAAAGAGAAGATGCGAACTGGAGGAACAGGTTAAAAGGCAGCAGGAACAGCTGATATTCAAAGTGAGCAAAGTGAAAACAAAGAGGCAGCAGCGCGCCGTGCGTCTCTGGTAACAGGAAGAACAGTGTCCAGACAAAAGACTCGCTCCCTCATCACTGGATTTAACAAAAAAACTCAACGCAACACGCGTTTTTGCGCACATTCTCCTCTTTTAAACTAGTTGCTGCTGACATTAGGCTCTTTTTCAGCCCTCTCTGTGCCTCTTTGCTCCTCCAGCTCCTCTTCCAAACGTGTTTATCTCCAACAAAAGAGCACGACGCCAGCAGCTCCTCTGTGCAACAGTGTCGCTCCGCTGTCTGCTTTCTTTTTTTGGTTGTTTTTGTTTTTCCGGAGCCTTGACGCGCTCCGTGGATCCAACACGACACCAGAACCAGCAGTGGGGTTCTGGTGTCTGCTGTCTGTCTGTCTGTACTCACCACCTGGATCAGATCTGAGCCAAAACGCAGCCTGGTGGAAAACTGCCTGCTGGAGAAACGCAGCAGAGGGATGTTTTTCTCAGTTGCTGCAGCTTTTTGGAGTTAAATAAGTGATTGTCGTCGTCCCGGGCTCCGGTCCATGTGTGATGCTGCCAGATGGGAACTTATTGTTGTGTCCTTTGGGTGCTGACGGATCTCATTTTTCCCAACACGGGCTTTTGTTGTGTCTTTTGTGTGCGTAATGGACTGGCCTGGTTACTTTGGTACGGAAACGTCACCACGTGGGAGGGAGACGGGGCTCTGATTGACAGGCGGGCCGGCCAATGGGCGAGCGAACAGGGCCGTGCTGCCTTCAGGCTCCCGTGGGAAAGATGGAAACCACGTTGAGTCACATTTGAGTGGAAATTTTTTTTTTTTAATGCTTACTTCAATTTGATTGTAGTTTTTATTTGTAGTTTGTGTAGTATTTTCACATATACAATATTAGCACTTCTACACAATGAAGTAAAATATCAACAATACTTCTATTTTTTATTTTACGACCAATGTTCCCGACATTTTCGCACTATCCCCTTTGCTGCTGTACCTCAAATTTCCCTGCTGTTGGACTAATAAATACCTTTATCTTTATTTATAAAGTATTTTTCATAGTAATTGTTTAAAAAGTGCAGGGACGAATAAATTAATCGACAAATGAAGCAAAGTGGATTTAAGATAACACTAAAACAAGATGACAGAGGACACAAAAGTACAAAGTGTCCTCATTAAGGTTTAGTTCTTTTCATTGTTGATTATTTTCTTGAATAATTGATTGGTGGGATGAACTTTAAAACGTCGATTAACTGTCTTGTTTTGTCCACAACTCAAAGTTATTGAGTTCACTGTTGCAGACGAGCAATGGAAAAAGAAAACATTAATATTTAAAAGGATTTTGACTTTTATTTTTTAATGTCTCAAACGTATTAATCTATTTAATAGATGACAACTGATTGAATAAGTGTTTTAGTCAATATAAGGCAAGTCTAGCACATTTAAAACAACAACAGCCACTGGAAAAATAAAATTAAAAAGTGATAAAAACCTTAATAACCAATAACTATTTTCTGTTTTCCGAATGCTGCACACCAGACTGTTCCCTGGTTGAACCTACGATTAACGCTGCAAGCATTTATAACATTTTTGATTTTTCCAACTTTATATTGTCGACACTAGAAGCCTATTCTGTATTTAGAATTAACTGTATACTGTACATCTTTTCTTGTACATGCATTTTCTCTTCTGGGATCAGTAAAGCTTGTTCTCACATGAGGTTAAGTTCTTGATTTGACTTGCAAAACAAAAAAATAAAGAAAAAGAAAAGCATGGATATCATATATTTGTTTTCTGTTAGTAACATGTTTTTAGAAGGAGATTTTTTTTGTTATTTGTACTGATAAACCTTTTCTAAAATATAAGGTTCAGTCTAGTAAACATGATCATAAAGCTGCTGTTTTTAAACACATTTAATGTCTGTTATCCAGCTGCTCTCACTTTGAGTTGTAAGAAGTGGCAATAAAAAAGTTAGAAGTGGATTTAAAGACATTTTAAAACCATCATTGTTATCTGCTGTAACACATAAACTGAGAAGCATCACACAGCAGACGTCTGTGACTAAACTAAACCACAGAACATATTTCAGGTCCAGGGAACAAAAATGTGGCTAATATTGTTCTGTTATTGCCGAGCACATTATTTCCCAGGCGGTACGAACGCATCACCGAGGGGAGGAGGGAGCGCTCGGATGCCCGGATGTGTAAATAAATACAAGATGAGAATATGAATCTGGATCCCGTTGTTTCTCTGATATGAAGAAGGAAAAAACCCGCTGCTGTTCGCAGGTGTTGGTTCCCACCTGTAGCTCTTTATGTTGATTAAAGGCAGAGTTTGTGTTTTTGCACATTTTTATCACATTTTTCACTCAAATTACCAAATCTGTGGTCGTTTATTTGCACATTAATTCGTCTGTGGATTGTTAAAATACTAAAACTGATTATTGCTGTTTAGGGGAAAGACTCTTTGTGTGATTTATAAGGATGTCAGACAATAAATCTGATGTTATCTTGACACCATGTGACAATAGAGACACTCAAAAAAGGTCAAGTTAAAGTCAAAGCTGAGCACTGAAGGTGTAATGAAAGATTCATTTGGGATATTTTCTAGCAGATTTCTTGGATTTTGCGCCAAAACAAGCTGTCACTTGGGCAGATCAATAGATCCCAGGTGTATTTTTCATTTTTTTTGCCACATGACACGTATTAGATAGTATATAAATGTTGTTTTTATGGATTAAAAGGCACAAAAACGGTCGCCCCCTCCTGCTTCTCCTGTTTATCTGTCAGCGCTGCATCATCCTGATCCACATCTGGAATAAGAAGCTCCCGTTGATCACAGTAAACACGACAAAAAAACAGAGAGAAGGGGGCTAAAATTAAACGTGGATCTGGTGCGCAAAGCCCAACAAAAAGCCTGTCCTCGTCCTACCCTTGCGGGTCCTGACGTCGAGGACACGCGTCAGCCTCGAGACCACAACAACAATTCATGCTTTTTAAAAATTATTTATTTCATTTTTCTTTCTCTCTCTCTCTCCTCCTCAACGTTTGTGTTGCAACACCTTGAAACCAGCATGAGGGAGGAGGACGCATGTCAACACGCCGCCGCTGCAGCTTCCTTCCAGGAGGTGCAGCGCTGCGTGAGCGTTATGAAATCCGTCCTTTCTCTGTGTTTTTGTCGCCTGTTCACGTGGCATCATAAGCCTTATATCCCCTCCTCCTCCTCCAAACCAAAAAAAAAAACTGACCGAGATCTGCGGCCAAAAGAGCGCACAGAGGATGGAGGCAGCGCAAAGCAGCAGCGGAGAGGAGCTGCACGTCTTCATTCGCTCTTCAACGTAACTCGGAGATCAAATTGCAAAACTCATTAAAGAAGCAACCTTATAATTAATGTAAGAAGGTTATTTAAAGGCCTGGAATTATGTAAATCCACCAGAGCTGCACCCAGGAGGAGCAGGGATTCAAAACATTGTTTCTGAAAGAACATGATGGAGATGTTATGAGATGTAAAGTTGTTTTCATGCAGTGCACAGTCAGAGGAAGACAAATGAAGGCTTTGGTGCAACAGGAAACTAAGTGTGACACAAACATCACACACAGGCTACTTTCAATCAGGAGGAGAAGCTGTGGCAGCAGGATTAATGGGTCGTTACGATGATTTCTGTGACAAACACACGCGTGTCCTCCAGCAGGTCACTGGTTCTGCACTCACCCCAAACACACTTCGCCTTCCCCCCCGTCGGACACCGAGAAGCTCCCGGTGCAGGACTCGGCGCCTCCACTGGAGCGGCAGGAGTCTGAATGTTGGTGGAAAATAAAAAATAAAAACACCAAAGACACCTTCACCGTCCCATAAAGGCAGCAGCAGCCTGTTAAGGTCGAGCCCAGCCGAACCCAAAAGTCTCCAGAAGCATCAGTGTGCGTCCTCGCTGGAAGCCGAACCGTGAGCCGTGCGCGATTTCTCCGGTGGTCCCATCCGTGAGGCGGCTCACAGTGAGGACATGATGGAGGAGTTTCACCTCTGAACACCTTCAGCTCTTCAGGACAGGCCGAGCTGTCCCGTCTGCGGCCTTATTTATACCGAGACCCCGATAAGCTCCGTGATGCGCAGCGCGCTTTGAATTATGCACAAACAGACGCACGACGCTGGATCCGTCCGGACCGACCGTCTGAGCTGCGGCTCCGCGTCTGTGCCGCCGCCCGACTGGAGCTGTGAGCTGTTTAAAGAGTGAAACTTGTGGGAAAAAAGTGCAGAAAAAAAGCGGCGTTTTATTTCATGGACCGGTGCTGCCTTAAGGTGCCGCAGGACAAACGAGTGTCAGAAACTGAGCGCACAAGGAAAAAACGTGGATCATCTCTGAACAAGCTCAACTTTAATGGCACAGCAGAGGAGAGTTGGGATTAAACACATAAATCAATCAGAAAACACAACACCAACATGAAATGTGAACAAAAACACACACATTACAACAATAAAAAACTCAAAAAAAGTGGAAAATGTCTCATAAACACGGTTCTTCTTTGTTTCTGAAGCTTTCATCCAAATCTCCTGGTCTTCCTCAACTGCAAACAGTTCAGTTGTTATTGTCGAGGTATTAAAGTCATTAAAAGATTCAATATGAGATTTAAAAAATGAACAAACTAAAAAACAAACTACCTGTTCAGGCTTCTGAAGTTGTTTTTGTTTTTCTGTTGAACATGTGGATTTTTCTTATTGCATAAGTGTGGTTTAAGGCTTTAAAGTCAGTGAGGAAACTTTAAACTCA